TATGAGCATAAACAGTAAAACAGTAGTAATTATGGTCAACACGACATAGTGGTACATCCTGTCCTTATCCTCTTAATGATGGTACTTGTACTAAGAATGATAGAGCTGAACTTGGTACAGTTGATACATCTATTGATGCTATTAATCTTATACATTATATGAGTACACTATTTACTTCTGCTAAACATGGGTTCTATTATATGAGCCTTATGCCTGATAGTTGGTTCTACTACTACAACTAGTACTACTACTACTATGATCATCAATGAGGATGATGATAATAATACTAATTATTACTATTCATGTATAATAATATATTCCCTAGGATTCCTTCCTGTTATATTGGCTATACTGCCATTTTTGTTATCCTACCACTGTTATCCACTCAACCTTCCTCATGTTGACTTGTCAATACCTTCATCATCATTACTAGTTATAATGTTAACTCATGATGTTCATCAACGCCAGTCGAGTATCGAGTTACCACCAGTAGTAGCATTTAACCGCTCAGCTGCCGTTAGAGTATCTCATGGCCACAAGGCCTATGAGGTAGTACAGCGATATACTATATATCCTCTTGGCTAACTATCATACCAGGCAAGTAACTCTACTGAGGATGATAGTAGCAACAGCAGGGGGAGGAGGAGGAGGAGGAAGAGGAAGAGTATCGTACATCATCACCCTGGTAGTATTGGGTATTGCTCATATTGATTATCCATAATGTATAGGTAAGACTAGGCCTAGTAGACGGCTAGGAGATGCTGTAGTACATCTAACCTCTACTACACCTTTATCCGACGATAAGGTAATTATCATTACCCTGGCTATGTATCCTAACTTAGGTGATAATGAATAAGGAGAGCACTGACGTACACATCTCTAGTATCATACATCATGATGATGATGATGATACCTCCCCATCAGCAACAACACTCCATGAAGCTAGTACTATGCTATCTTCCTATGATGGTCTATCTAGAGAGATACCCGAAGTCTCCTCCATTCCAGCTCAGGAGTTGAATAATACATCAACAAGTAGCCTACTGAGTGGAGGTAGTCGTAGTGTATCAGGTGTGCGGAGACCCTTCATCTCATCAATGTTCGATTATGATACACAACCCTCATTGTCTATGGTATTGTCCACACCTCCACGTAGGAGCCTCCGATCCCCTAGAAGGATGATGAATGTCGATATTACTACTTATCCTCCTCCCCCTCCACCACTACGACTGCGACAGAGATCCTTTCATCGACGTGTACGACCTGTGTGGGCCAAGTCGCCTGCTTGTGGTCATATTGTGTCGATCAGCGTTATGGATAAAACTCCCATTGGACGGGTGGAACACGTTAATAGCAGCGGAGGGATATTACCTCCTTCACCAATGCATAATATGTCATGAATATTGGCCGCTAGTTATTGAGTTCTCTAAGTTATTCAACCCACCTCAAGGAGAAGTGTATTAATGTATCAGACACCTGTCGATGACGAAGGGATTGTGAATTACGATTCGCAGTCTAGCCTTGCATATACTCTTTACGCCCACCGAATGTCACATGAGTATATACCTTTTCCAATGAGAACTGCTAATCCCCTTCCATATTGACTCTCTCCCCTTGATATACAGTCCTCGGAGTCGACAACAAAGATAGAAACTCAAGTTGATCAGATGTAACATATCCTGTCATGATCGATCCGAAGTATAAAACTCAGTGTCCTGCTGCTGCTGCTGCCACAACCGTGCCATCCCTGAACTCTTTTGACAATGTGATCCGATTGGGGACCAATTTACAATCATAGATATGCTCACTCTCAATGATACTATAAATGATCTCATATAACTTTTCCGTTTCCTACGATCCTAGGTGGTTAAGGGAAATCAATAGCGCTGACAGTCGTTGACGAAGTTCAAAACTCCCTTTAGGCGAAGGTACCGCCTTTTCTGATAGACTTACATCAAGTCCTTTCAAGTGGGCTTTATCCAGGTGCGCGCCATGTACAGTGCATAAGTGCATTCAGGGGCGGTGCCAGAGTGCGGTAGTGCACTTTATTAGTGCGCACTTAAGGTAGCGCACTCACTGAGTTTACGGAGGGATAGAGGGCTAAGTGCAAGTGCGTCAATGAAGAGGGTCTAGATAAAGCACACAACCGTTGAGCTCAATCATGTACTGCCTCACTGACTGGCATAGTGATAGTAGAGAGGATTAGAGTGATGATGATGATGATGACAATGGTTATATTAGTGTAATCCATGATGTACATGTATGATATGTAACACATGATGATGTATTGAACTGTGAGGGATCACTTCTACCCAGTACTATTATATGTGATGATGCAGTGATGAACAATAACAACAAAGAAAGTAAAGGTGATAATTCTCTATCTTGTAGTGGACCATCCTATGAAGGAGAGTCTATAATCAGGGAATAAGAGGACATGCCGATATGATAATATTATTCCTTATCAAGGAGACAGTATCCAAGTGAGTATCCAAGGGATCTTATCATAATCCAGTTAGTCCATGATGATGATGATGATGACCAAAGTAGAAGTTGTTTAATGCGAACTTTAGATAGGGTAGAGTTGACCGTCATCACGATATGGCACATGTGTCTTGACAGTGTTTTATATGTTTGTCGTATTGAGAATGTTGGAGGGAACATGACGAACATTATCTCTTGCTGAACTCGAGGAGCGAGTCTCCTCATGATGAAATTGAGCTCCAATATCGGAGATAGATCTTCCCATTCCGTAGTCGTACGCGAAACGGAATTGATGTTCCTAAATGTGAGCTTTATATCAAAGTGATGTCATTTAGTTTAGATAACGTATTACGTTAGACAAGGCACTGTACACACTGGTAAGACCTATTAATTGTGATGACATTGTGTATAACCTACCTCATCATCATCATCTGGTGGCGGCAAGCTAATGATGATGAGGTACAGGTCTAATCCTCCGTCGGAATATTATTAAGGATGGATGAGCAATCCTTAGAAAATATTATATGGATGTAATCGATCTTACAATTGGTTACAGCATTGGAGGGATACAACCGCTGATATAAAAAGCAATAGCCCTGACGACATCATGATCACCCTGATCTGATCACTGAATGACGACACAACAAAAGATCAATAAGGATTACAACAATTCTGAACAAGTTGTCGTGTCCAGTAGTAGGAAGTAGTACAATAAGCATAAATCTGCTACCTACATAGACAACGGAGTAGAATCGTAATAACAGTCATCACCGATAGTAGCAGTGGCAATGGCAGTGGGAGTAGTAGTAGTAGCGATAATCAAGTGAGGATATCAGATATGCATTCTGCTGCTGCTTCTGTAGCCACGTGCATTATCAGAGACTGCTGCTAACACTATTAGGATCTAATGGTGCAACAACCACAACAACAGTGGTAAGATGGGAGGCGATGACGACACTTTAGTATTAGTTGGTGTTGTTAGTCTCATCTAGAAGATTCTGGAAGGCAGTATCAATCTGGTTAACAAGATTAGCAAAGAAGTTAGCGAAATCCTCTTCACTATGTTGAGGCATCTCGAACTTCATATTGGTAATAGCGACGATAACATCCTTGCAAGCAGTAGATATCTGTGACCATCCAATAACCTTATCACCATGATTCTCAGACAAACATTTCTGAGCAGCATCATAGAAATGACAGATACATTTCATCATACCAATAGTCTTAGCTAGAGGGCACATATAATCATAATCACTGAAACCATTCTGTTGAAGGAAATCTTCACGAATAATACGAGCAACCTCTAAAGTACACTTCTGATCTTCAGATAGTGAATCACGACCAACCAATTGTACAATTTCTTGTAGATCATCTTCAGTCTGAAGAATCTCTTTAACCTTTTGTTGTAAAGATGAATACTCATTATCATACTTGTTGAAGAAGGGCTCCAAGGCACGAGTATACTTTGAGAAAGAGATATTCCAGTTAATGGAAGGGAAATGCTTCCTCTGAGCCAACTTCTTATCAAGACCCCAGAATACTTGTACAATAGATAGAGTTGCTGAGGTAACAGGATCAGTGAAATCACCACCAGGAGGAGATACAGCACCAACAATAGTTACCGCACCCTCACGATCAGGAGAACCCATACACTTAACACGTCCAGCACGCTCATAGAAGAAGCAAGACGAGCACCGAGATAAGCAGGATAACCAGAATCAGCAGGCATCTCAGCCAAACGACAGATATTTCACGTAAGCCTCAGCCCAACGAGAAGTAGAATCAGCCATCATACTAACATTAAGTCCCATATCACGGAAATACTCAGCAGTGGTGACACCAGTATAGACAGATGCCTCAC